TTACCGGATCTCTAAAATTTCGTCTGCTATTAAAGTTAGCCCTTTTCATTGGTTAGTTTGATAGTTGTGGCTTGCCAGTCGTCTTCAGTTGAACTGAAACTAGGACTTAATTTAGTCGTAGTTAAAACTTTGACTATGTTGTTTGTGAATACAAATTGAAGTTAAAGTTGCAACGAGAACTAAATGAAATACGGGCATTAGTACTCTTATAATTTTACGCCCTGGACACAGATTGTATCTACAGTACGTAATAATAAAGCTCTATTGCGAATATCATTAAAGGCACCGTAACAGTTATGATCCAGTTATAGAAAAAAAATACATGAAATTGTCTGAAAATTTATCATAAATTGTATTTGTAAGTATACAGCTATCACAAATACTTACTTAGTTATTGTGCCATCTATATCAGATATAACAATCCTACTATCATGCTGCCACAGGTAGATTGTGCTCTTACATAGACAAGTTCCTTGGTACCTGGTCGTCACTGAGTATGTAATTTCATTTGGTCCAGGTTTAAGGTTTAAACAAGCCTGAAATTTAAAAAAAATTAAAATGTTAAAAAAGAGAAATATCTTTAAATTTCTCTGATAATTCCTATAAATACAGCAAGTGTATAATAATTAAGTTTCAGATATAATTACTGTCCACTACATTCACATTCATCAAAATATATAAATATTAGTTTTATAAATGCTCATTATCAATCAAAAATTTGTTTATGAGTCATGTCATGAGAGGTAGAGAAACCAATGGAATAATAGATTAATATACTCTTGCCTAAGTTAATTGTTATATTACACTGAGTACCCTCTACCAGCTCTCCTGTGGGGGGCCATGTTTTTCAGAAGGCAAGAATTGATGATACATGTGGGAGAGCCAGGATGTACCTTCATCCCTAGACAACATCAAGCTGTATCCAGTTGCATTGCTTGAAGAATATCCAGTGACAATGGATCGAAACATACCATGTACTCAGTATGTATACTCCGCTTGGGTTTAATTTTATGAACATATCAAACGCTTACTTTCATTATTAATCCTTAGTATTATTATAAATAAACAAAATACTCTCATGACATTGATCAATATTTTATTATAAACCTACTAATTGTTCATTGGTGAGACGAATTGACTTCTTGTAATGTTCACTAAATGACGAGTGTTCACTTCCTTCTTCTGCTTCCTCTTGTAACTGTGTTTCAGTCGATAATCTAACAAAATATCAACATCATTACAGCATTAACAATAAAAAACAAAAACAATAAAAAATAATATTAATATTAAAATTATGTGGGTCTTTATACTGCATATATCAAACAACTATACTCAAAACATATTATACTCAGCTCCCTTAGGAATGTCCATAATGCTGCAGCCAGTATAGGTTGGAAGTCACCAACATTACAATACGAACATTAGAAGCACCAACATCAACATTTTTATCATAACAATCGTTAATGTCACTATAATTTTTCAATGACCATAAGCATTATATTTATCAGCTACTATCAAAACACCACCATTATCACAATTAATACCCCTAATATGATACCACTTTTTTAAATCACCAACTAAAAATCCTGAATCTTTCCACACAAAGCTAATCCTTTAATTGGAGACAGACCTCTGAGACCGCCCTACATTTCAGGTCCCAGAGATGGCCTCAAATTGGAGGGCAAACTGTATGTAAAATTGGTTATTTATTTAGGATATTTTAACGTCAACAAAATTCTGTCATACTTTCCAGATGGTTTCTCCTCCGATACCTTCTCCTCCTGTTTTATGGTTTCATCTACACTCTCTGCCTGTTGATACAAAAACAAAACTTTCAAACTTACATAATTACATTTATAAATCATTCATATAATAACCAGAGCCTTGCAGGCGTCAACGTTCCTATGCATGATACTGTACACGACTTTTAGAAGTATATATACGTGTATATATATATATATATATACATATATGTATATATATATGTATATATATATACACATATACATATATATATTCATATATATACATATATATATATTTATACATATATATATATATTTATATATATATACATACATATATATTTATATATATATACATATACGTGTATATATACATATGTATGTATATATATATGTTTATGTGTGTGT